CTGCTGATATTTAATAATTTTTCGTATACATGGGCAGTTTAAAATTGTTCAGTCTTGACCCGTTAATATAAAACAAGCAGTTATTTTAGAATGAAGAAAGTATTATTTGTTGTTCAATAGCTCCTTAATCTGCAAAATGTACTTCATCATTATTGCTTCATATACTATTATTTAAATACTCAATAATTAATTAGCAAACATCCAAAATAGGGAACAACTAGATACTGTTAAAGAAACGTATAAACTAAACACTTTTGTAATAACAGACATATAGGCAAATAAATTCCATTGTTCCTATGATGAATTTCACATGATTGCATTGATGAGCAACATCACACTCGTAGGAGTGTGATGTGGCTGTATATCGGCACTAGTGGGAGGCGCGTTGCCTTAGTGTTTCACCAGTGACGATATGTAGCCATATCTCACAACAAAAAAATGTGATATTGCATTTACACAACAGTTCAACGGCATAATCGTGTATATATAAAAAAATTAAACACTGAAAGACTTAAAATCCATTTGTATGAGGAACTACTTTCTTCTGCCATTCGTTCACCTCTGCAGCTGACGTCAGAACAGCAGAAGCCATTACTAATTCGCCAACGTCACTTTAGAGCTAGTATTTGAATGATTCTCTAGCGTAATATCTAAAGTGACGACAAAACAGTTGACTTTGCTGACATTTTAAGATTATAAGGCTGAACAACATGAAATGCTATCAGTCTAAAAAGATATCTCCAGTATTTCTCTGTTGCAATCGGGGGATTATAATAATTAACCCCGACATGACATTGATTTTAACCAGCTGTAGTTTAAAATTACGCTGAGTTTTTCCTCCTCTAAGGGATTATTATGCGGTCTCTGTCGCCATCTTGTGGATGGTGCTGTATCTACAAAATTATAAATATTTAAAATAGGCACTATCCTAAATAAACTGCATAGTTGCAATCTAAACAACTACATTCATGCCTAAAAAAGCCTCAAGAGTACATTTTGTTGTCCAACATCTGCAATATTTGTTAAACTGTAGAGAGTTTATTGAGCTGCTGTCACTATTCGGGTGGAAAAATATAGAATTGTTAGGAGGATGTAGGAGTTCTGATATGGCAGAATATTGCACTGCTATCAGCCAATCAGATTCGAGAACCAGAGAGAACTGTTGTATAAACATGCAGCATTTCCATATCTTCTTATTATTAACAATTTTGAGTTTTGTATTTAAGCTTCACACATACCAAGTTTATTACAGTCATTAAAGTGGTGACATGTGGATACCAGCCATATATTGCTATCATGTCCTATATAAAGTATTTGGAGCTTCCTAAAATAATAATGGACTTGTTCTTATTTGCTATTTTCTCCCACAAAGATCTGGCAACCAAATTGAATCCTGATTAGAGCTTCACAAAATGAGAAGAAAATGGCATTGAAAATACTCATTTCTACCATTAGGGCAATTATTGGGAAATTTTTGTCATCTGTAAATGTTACGAATCAGCCTGGAAGAGGATGTTTGTCTATCAGATCCTAATGGAGGAAGAGGGTTAAAGTAGCCAAACTATCTCAGAGAATCCCAGCTGGAGAACCGCAGAAGTTAACTGGGTTTTGGGGTCAGAAAGTCTCCAAAATTACAATCTGACAGCACTTACATCAGCACAAACTGTTTGGATCAACAGTTTAAACAATAAAGACATTTGTTTAACAGGCTTGTTTGCTCATATTTACCAAGGACTCCAATATTAGTGGAGGTCAGTGTACATATCCACTGCCCTCCTGTTGTTCCCTTTCAATTGAACACTGCTTTCTTTCCTAAACATGCCATATATCCTCATCTAGAGGTCAGCTGTGAGCCAAACATTGCATATGGATATTAAAACCACATCTTTTTCAAGTATTTTTAAAGCATTGCAGATTACATAAATAATGAATAAAACTCTAAAGTAATTATATAATACAAATATACATACAGATAGATGTATGTCTGGCTAGTTTTGTCCACCGGCTGGCTTTCTGTGTTTATGACAGGATACAGTGCTTAGCATATACAAGTACACCCCTCACGAATCTTTTAGATTCATATATACAACATTATATTTGTTCATATACATTAGATTAGTCAGTACTGAAATCATATCTGGAGCTTATTTAACAAAATAACGTACGATAACGGTATAAAAACGTATGATTACGGTATAAAAACTGCTACACCCAAATTTATATGGTTCAAATATTAAATACAAATTTAAAAAAGAGGAAAAAAATCAAAAGAAGCAAAAATGTGTAGCTTTAAACTTTTTTTTTTTTTTTTGCAATATTTTGCTTGAATTTAATTGTATTATCTTTCAATTTCTAAATATGTTTGGTGACTAAAATATCATTTTAATAAATATATCTTTTTAATAAATCTGTTTTGTTTAAATCGACCAAAATGCATTGCCTATATTCACTGAGAAATGGATACAAATTTTCATTTTCAAATTAAGGTGTCCTCAAATATGCTGAGCACAGTAGTAAGGGACAGTTTCAACACTTTTTGCATTTCCTTCAGTTTCTCAGAGACAATTTTTTTTTTTGGAAACCCAACATTTTAATATAATAAACCCACATCTATTAGACACCCACCCACATTGCTATAATATGTGTACATATGATAATATATGCAGAATTAAGACTTGATCAGACAATTCAAACATTGCTGACCCCAAGCATGAGGAAGGTTGCAACAACCCATAAAGACAGTCACAACATTCATTAAAATGTAATAATAAAATAATTCTAAAAACATCAAGTTGGATTATAGGTGGATGGTAAACAGACTAAATGTAAATTGGTTAAATAGTTAAATTGGCTTTAAAAATAAAGACTATTAAGAGAACAAGCAACAACCAATTATCAGGCTTAAACAACAAGGTTAAAATTTTTTTTTTTACTGAAAATCTAGACTAAACCTTTACTAAACTACTTAATTTAGCTTTGAAATTAATGAATTATTCAAATAATTTGTTCTTTCAAATTAAATTAAACTGAAACTGTGGTAAACTTAAAATTGTACATATGTTAATATGGCAAGCTGTTAAGTGTATTGTATAATTGGGGACAGTTGCAACAGCATGCTTTCAACCCTGATTAAACTGTCTATGCTAGGGAGATACAATAGCCTTAACGCTTGATAGCTATATAGGCCATTCTTTAACTATGGGCACTTTTAGCCCTGTGAAGTTGAGTAAAAAAACTTGTTCAAAATTAACGTAACATAGCCTCATAAGTGTAAACAATTTGTCTATTTTTCAGATCTGTAAGAGAACAAACTTGGACATGAATAGAAACATGTTTTCATCGTGAACTGAACAAATGTCCATTCCACCACTTCTCAATATACAGCTTATTTCAAAATGAAATACATTACAGCAGTCAAGCATTGTCTAATATCATTTTTGTATCTAGTTTAACCAATCTTTCCACAATATATATATATATAATAATTTACATTTGTCAATTAAATAAATTAGTCCCTTAGGACCAAATGCTAAATTGTACATCTGTCACACTCTAAAATGTAATATTAATTTGGTTAAGAGCTTATTAGAAAATAAATAAACTGAATTTGTATATTAAATAGAGCATGAACTTATACATTGTGACAACACTTTTAATGTGTGATGAGAACTTTTTAGATATTTTAAAAAAAAATGTATGTGGTGATGGAAATGACAGTGATGGAAATGACAGTGATGGAAATGACGTTTCAACAGTTTATTGTGAAAAAATGAAAAATAGCTTCACCAATTAGCTTTGAATTGATACTTGACTTTCATGTATACAAAACACTCTTATTTACCTCAATTTTGTTTGGTTTTTAAAATAACCTTTGAAGGTACAACATGTTTGAAAATGACAGAATAAATATACTTCCTTATCAAGCAATATTTACCTTGATTTTTCTTCAAGTTTTGTTGATAAAAACTAAATTCCCTCCACCTTGAAAATGTTCTCAGATGGCACTATTCTTTTTTTATAGAAACCACCTAAAAAAATCTTTCACACAAACTTTTTAAAGCGACATTACAGTGTTGTGGTGGAAATGGCACTGATACTGTATGACAGCTATGTTTTGTATAAAAAATATTATTGATAATAGTCTTACATTAATTAAATATTTTTCTCTAGCGCTTAATTAAGATACATGAATAGATACCAGATAAATAATATTTTAAAATGTTATTTTCATTGTTGAAGTTTAAAACTCTGGGTGTGTGACAAGGTAAAAACAGTGATTTTGACACTTAAAATTAAAAGGAGGTTGAATAATATGAAAAAAATATATAATAAAAAGCTAGTGCATTTTTTTAAAATTAGGTTTCATTGTTTGTTTGACAAAGAAAGAGAAATTTGAACAAAATTATATATATATTTTTGGATATACGATCAAAGGACATAAAAGTGCCCGTAGTTAAAGAATTACCCATATAAGAAAACAGTGATTTAAATTATACAAATAAATAATGTTTCACAAAAACAGGTTAGACAGTATGAGAAATTTTCTGAACATTAAAAATTAGTTTTATATTGAAGGAATAGTCCTATATGGCTGATTTTCTTTTTCAGATTGAAGGAGAGTCTAACTGTGAATATGTAGTATAAATATCATCATTCTGGCTCATTCCTGAATGTAGAAATAGGTCTTGTTGCAACTGCCCCATGCTGCAACCGTCCCCAATCTCCCCTACATACTCTGCTACTGTTGCTCTCTCTCTTGCTCTTTATCTTCATTACATACTCTTAATCTCGATCAGATGTCATTTTAATTTGTTAATATTGAATGTGGGATAATTAGAAAAGCCTTGGGCCTAGAAGACACCATTATATAATCACCTACTTCAAGCAGCTCAATAATCAGGGGGTCACATGATGGGTTCCGAATTTAGCAAATGTAATACTTTTCTCTTTTTTCTTCCTCTCCCACAAATGCAAAAAAAAAAACAGAGAGGAAGACCTACCGTCAAGTGACAGCCAGTCGTGCTGGGATGAAGGCAGGGAGGGGAGCGCACGGGCTTTATACTCAAACACTACTGAGTTAGAGATGATTTGATTACTAACAGCCACCTGTAGAGTCACCAAGCCAGTATCATGGGCTGCGGACACACATACACACACACACACACACACACACACACACACACACACACACACACACACACACACACACACACATAATCCCATAATTAGAGAGATCAGAGGAAATCACACAAACACCCTGGACAGTTTACTTATCTTTCATACTTCAACAAGTTTTTTTATGTTAACTAAAGAATATTAATTAGTCTTCATGAGTCGATGTGAAATTACCGGGACAGTAGCAACGTAAAACCCCAGGCTGGATGAGGGAAGCAGGGACAGAAATCTGGTCAAACAGACAAGTGTAGCTGCTGCTGTCTTCCTGCCATGGGCCTGTGATTAAGACCTTCACACCACCCTGAAATTTAGAGAAAAAAACACATCAGTAAGATAATACTATCATTGTTTAAGCACACCAATTTAGTAGGAGAATAAAATATAAGAAGATTAAAATACACATGTTATAGTGCCATCTTGTGGAGGAGTAAAACACTAGACCTGAAATATTTTTTTTAAATGTGTTTTTAGGGGAATTCTGCCATCTCGTGGTGAAATACTGCAACAGTGTAGGAAATGTTTGGATATCAAAGAGTTTTAAAATCAGTGCAGAAATTACAAATAAAAATATATGAATAAATATTATAATAAAAAGTTATAATATCATTCATAGGCAACTAGGCATGTTTTAAAAACATGATTGAAGATCTAAAAGTAAAGCTACACTATAATAATAATAATAATAATATTAATAATAATAGTAACAACAACAATAAAAATAATAATAATAATAATTCATTCATTCATTTTCTTTTTGGCTAGGTCCCTTTATTCATCAGGGATCATTCACCTGTACCGCATGTCTTTGGACTGTGGGGGAAACCGGAGCACCTGGAGGAAACCCACACTCAAAATAATGACTTTGGCTACTTGTTCAAACTAATAATTTATAATGAGTTGAATCAACACAATTCTTGAGGGTTTTTGTGGGATAACGTATTTATTTTATGTTTTAACAACATAAATTTGTAGAAAAAACATTCAAAACAAAAAAAGTTAACTTAATCAATTTGCGTTCACAACACAAAGGAATTGCGTGGAACCCTGCAATTTTTACAGTGCACACGAACACTGGGAGAACATGCAAACTGTGAGGCGACAGTGGTAACCACTGAGCCACTGTGTCACTTAATAATAATAATAATAATAATAATGCAACGCAGTGGCACAGTAGGTAGTGCTGTCGCCTTACAGCAAGAAGGTCGCTGGTTCGGGCCTCGGCTGAGTCAGTTGGCGTTTCTGTGTGGAGTTTGCATGTTCTCCCTGCGTTTGCGTAGGTTTCCTCTGGGTGCTCCAGTTTCCCCCACAGTCTAAAGACATGCGGTACAGGTGAATTACTTTATACTGTCCGGATTTTATCAAAAGTGGTTCGTTCTGCTGTGTTGATGCCTGATAAAAAGCAAGGAATAAGCCCCAAAAAGTTAGAGAGTGAGTGAGATTGTTTAGACGAAAAAAAAAAATTCACACAATAATATTACACTTTGTGGGCATATTTAGCATGTCATGTGGCTGGAATGCTCTAGTTAGATAAAAAAAAAAACTATTTTGTTGTTTAATATGATTTTAACTGTTAAAGGAGGATCTACTATATACAACTATACAAGTCGAATACTCAGGGGCGACGCTGGGACAATTCTAAGGGCCCATGCTGTTTTGGGGCACCCAGAGATACTATTAGAGGCCCACCAGAACCCTCTACCCCCTTTACCTTTCGACTGCGACACCTCTAGTAGTAGTAGTAGTAGTAGTAGTGGTAGAAATAGTTTTTATTTAAATTACCAACCAGCTACAACAACTACCTAAAGTAATAATGTTTTGAGACATGTTTTGTTGGTGAGGCATTGATACGTGTCATAAGACTGAATGTGAAGTGTTTCATTCAAACAGACATACCTCTGGGTAGGACCACTCTGGAGAGTAGTCTGTGACCATGAAAAGTCGGCCGGTGGCCTGCAACATTCCTAGAGTGCCCTGGGCCACTGCTGCTGACACTACTTCTGCGACATGCATGTATGCCAGTGAGCCTGTCTCTCCCGACCCTCCACCGGCACCAGCGCCTCCACCTAAAGACTGGGGGCTGCAGCACGACTGGAGGCAGAGTTCCGAGGAGCTGTATCCTGCCGTCCTGTTGCTTGCATCCTCTTGACCTTGCTGTTGGTTCCCCCCAGAGTTGGCTGTTCCATCAGACCCAGGCGGGGCCACCAACTGGTGGGTATATAACGTCCCTGTGGCCCCTACAGCTGTGGCTCCACTGTCCACCGAGATGAAGTCATTGATTAGATCTGAAAACTGGTTTCCAAAAGAGATGTCGAAATGATCCAAGCTGATTTCCATTCCCGTGCCTCCACCACCATTGGCTCCGGTTCCACTAAGCCCGTGGTGGGTGTTGTAGAGCCCCTGAACCAAATTAGCCCCCTGAAGCAGTGGCTGGAGTTGTTGTTGTGAGCCGTTGTTGGGCCCGTTTGTGCTGTTTCCATTCCTCAAAGCTACAGCTTCAGCTCCTGCTCCATTCTCAGAGCTCTGCTGCATGAAGTGATCTGCTCCTGCAGTCTCTCCTCCTCCGCTGCAAGCTTGCAGATGATCCCCGGACTTTAGCAAACCATCTGTTCCGTTTTCAGTGACCCCAGCTTGACCGGCACCAACATTGCGGCTCTGATCCATCCCGACCACTTCCTCATGCTCTGGACCAAGACCTGGGAAACCTCCCTGATATTGGAGGAGCTGCAGTGAGCCAGCCTGTCCCTGCACCTCAGTGGGTGAGCCTCCATTGCAGTTGGGTCTGTGCTGGCCTTGGTGGGCGTGATGGTGGTGGAGGTGACCATTACTCCCAGGCGATTCTGTCTTGACAACCTGCAGACCCATGTAGGTCCCATCAGGGGTGCTATGTTCCATCATGTGGCCCTTCTGGCTGGAGCTCTGCCGACCTTGCTGGTTTTGGGATGGCTGTGGTGGTTCTTGAAGGAAAAAGCTTGGAGATCGGTTCTGGTGGGCCAAGCTGTTCATTGCCTGTGTATATCCTACTGCGGTGGGACCGGTGGAGTAGTCTTGTTTTGCATCAATGGCACTGAAGTCCATCTGCTCCAAGGTGGTGCTTGGACTTAGGCCACCTCCAGAGGGCAGCAGAGAGGAAGCAGGAGTCAAGCTGAGTGAGTTCTGTCCACCACCATTAGATACGCTACAGCTTACGACTGGCCCTACCTGGTAGTTCCCCTCTTTGGCAAGCTGTTGTTCGAAGGAGGTGTCCTCGGTCTTGATGTTTTTTACTAGTGCAGAACTAAAGCTGTAGGTTGGATCTGATATAGTTGGCGAACGTTGCAAACCATTGGTGTTAGCTGTTGAGGAGGATGAGGCACTGGATGCGACATTCTCCTGCTTCAGTCCATTTCCCCCATATGTCTGGCCCTGCTTCGGGTTATTCAGGAAGCAGTCAGGATCAAAGTTCATAGTGGTTTCTGGGATCTTGATGCTGCTGGAGTCTAGGCTGCTGGAGAGGACAAGCTCCTCAGAGACGCTGGAGGCAGACAGCATTGACAAACCATCTGCTCCGGGACCACCTGCATCTGCGCTCCCGCTTCCTGGAAAGGCAAACTTGTGGCTGTCAGAGGTGACGGCTAGAACTAGGCTGTGAGGATTGGCATCAGGGCCCATAATATGGGTATTGGGGCCTCCGGTGGGGGACATACTGTAGACGGGATCCCCAGTCACCTCAGACATGAAAACACTCTGGGATAGGCTGCCCATGACAGAGGCAACATGGCCCATGCCTGTTACCGCTGGGCTGTCAGCCATGTCAGGGTCTGAGTTGAGCCCGCTGCTGATGGATACAGGGGAGTTCTGGGTCGTGTCTGGCACTTCCACCTGATTGGTGGAGGAGACCTCAGTGCTATTTTGGTGCAGCAGAACAGGTTTGTGAACTTTGCCGTTGCGTTTCTCACGTACGCTCCCTCCTCCTGACCCGCTGCTGTTCTTGCTGCTGTGGCTGTGTTCTGTCTTACCCTCTGACACATCATTATTCTGGAGCTCAGAGTGGGTGCTGCTGTAGCCTCCTGAACGAGGGTCAACTTTGGGAGAGATAATGCGGTGTTTGGCGCTGTTACATTTATGATGCACACTGCTCCCAGCACCTGCAGAGACGTAACAAAATGTTAGTAATTTCTGAATCTTTTAATCCATGACTAACAACAACAACAACAACAACAACAACAACAAAAACAACTATATTAAACTATTCTTGTTCCATTCGTAATATTAACAATGTCATTTATACTATTTTATGGAGAGTACATAATATCACTGACTGCTAAATGGCATTTATTATTAGTTTTCACAAAAATATTAACAATGGTTATAATAATTATCTACTAAAAGTGTTATTACATTATAAACATTATAAATTGTGTGTATTAATATATACTTCATTTGTTTCCTTACACTAAAAGTGTAATTTTTCCTATTATTATTAGTAGTATTCTCAATATTTACATTTTTATTATTAATATTGTACCTAAATGAACATATTAAGCAAAATTTCCCCTTTTCCCTATCATTTATTCAAGAAACTACAAGTCAGTTTCACAAACTATCCTACTATTTTATATATGACACCCCTACAAGATCCTCTGTTTGCTTTGCACATTGAAAATAACAAACATTTCAGTGAACGACCCGCATAATGTCTTTGAAATGGAATAAAATGCTTTCATGCTGATACTTTGAATGAATACTGAGATTAATTCAAGCCTTTATAGAGAGCATCAATCATCAATATTAATCGTTTCACGAGAAGCCAACACATAGCTTTACCATTTAGTTAATAAATGGCTGATATGTCTCATTAGTCATTTTACTGCACACTTGGCAATTGAATTTTTATGAACATACAACAAATGGCTATCCATCTACCCCACAATCATTTGTTTTAAGCACGCAATTCAATTTGCTTCAGAGTTACGACACCCTATAGGAGAAACACCATGGGATTGTAAAGTGCTGTGTTGGATATTTGTGATGAAGCACAAGGTGAAAATTCATTTGTTGTATACTTGAGTAAAGAAAATAAAAAAGAAAGAGTGCTTTGACTGGATTGCCTAGATACACAGGAACATTACGCCCCCCAGTGGTGTCATTGCAACAGACAGCTCAATAAATCAGCATATAGTGTGGCATGTAGCCTGCTGCTCTATACTCACCACATCTATTAAAGTTCTTGCTGGCATATTTAAAGGTCCCACGAAGTGTTTTTAAATGATGAGCATACAATGTTTTACGTAAAAAAACAGCCTATAGCATTTACATACCTGTCAACATTAGAATGTGAAAATAAAGGACCCACCCCCCCAAAAAAATTCCCAAATGACTGTTCATCTGGCTGTTTCATTATAAATCAATGTTTATTATTATTATTATTATTATTATTAATTTTTACAAAGAATAGGATAAATATTATACAATACAAAATGCTGTAAATAGTTTAGCAAACAGTTTAGCCTATTCAATTAGCTATTATAAAAATTGTAATTAATTTATCAAATCTCATTAATCTTTTCTTTACTGTATAATTTAAACTGTTTAATTCAAGACCAGTGAATGAATCTCTTATTTAGATTTGTTCGTGTGAACAAAAACAGATTAAAACAGAGGAGTCAATTTAAAAATGCACAGATCTTTTATGAAAGCATTCGATTGCTTTCATAGCTGTTTATGCTCATTTAAGAAAAAATTGTTGTGTTTAAAAGAAAACCCACCAAGATCGACATGCTCAGATGTTGTTACTATTATTATTATTATTATTATTAATATTATTATTATTATTATTATTATTATCATGTGCATATGTCTGCTCAAACATGCACCCAAAACCTGAAGTGTCCACTTTTGCTGTGCTACAAATCGCATGTACAGAATCAGTTCGAGAAACAGAGTCTATTTATTAATATAGAGTACGTCAGACAGTCACGCACCGCTAACCATACATGAACTGACTGTTTTGAGGATTGTATAGGAGGGGTGACGGCACATGTAATGGAATCCTGACATTTTTATATATTTTTCTCCAAAAAGTTTTCATGCCTATATAAAATTGAAACAAAGAATAGATTCACATTTAGGAGTAATGGGCATCTCCTAGTGGTTTGGCGGTATGGGTTACGTATGGGGAGGATCAGTTTTTTAATGTTTATTGCCATCGTTCATAGAAAGACTGAAAAAACAGGAGAAATGTGAGCTAAAATTGAGCAGTTTGCATTTAGTTTTATCACAGCTCTGCCAATGAGAGTGACTGAGCTCAAGCGCATCAAATGAAAAAAAAAAGAGAAGCATCTTTAAGGGGACGGGACATGTCAGATGCTACAGATCATTTAATTGGTCAAAATATTTAATGAGAAACTGAAGTATGAGGAAGTATGAGGCTGCAAGCTATGGACGTTTATAGCTTCATAATCCCAATTTTGTCTCTGTTTTTGGAGCACACCAGCTTATAGATATCCTTAAGACTAACATACTGATGCTAGCATCTAAAAAACTTTTAATTTCACGGGCACTTTAAAGCGCTACCTTCTTCCTCAATCTCCACCCCAGCCCTTCTGTCTGTCCTGTCTTACCCAGAGTGCCAGTGCAGAGGCAGTTGTGAGTCCTGGGAGGGGGCTTGGTCTGGTGGCTGTCCAGTATCTGCTGCACCAGCTGCTCCACAGAGAAGCCAGAGCTGCTGTTCCCATTGCTGCAAGTCCACTTGATGCCATGAACTGCCAAGGGAAAGAGACACAGTCGTCAGCCCACCAGCCGAGCCTTCCAACCCCCCCACAACCCCACCAGTGCACTACATCCCTGACCTTACCTCCAACCATACTCAATATAAAACCTCTTTCTACAGAAAAAGAGTCAGTTATTGCAGGACTACTTTCTGACCTCACACAGGAAAATGGAAAGTGCAAGGACACATTTTGGGGCCTGTTACGGGTGAATTTTCAGCTGATGTGGGAGGAAATAAAGGGAAAAATTCTTCCTCCTCTCAATTCAACTGGAGTAAAAGCCCCAGCCCTTTGACAAGGCACTACCGCCATCACCATTTCCGCAAGCTCAGCCTCTCTCCTCTGAGATAAAAGGATAACAACGATCACTACAATGGAAAAAAAGGCAAAAGGAAAAAGAAATGCAACAAAAGAAGCGTGTCCAGAAAGAGAGTCATTTATTGCGGCTGTTTATTGCAACCTAGGCTCATTCTGAAAACGTACCTCTAAATACATTTCTGGAGACCGCCAAATACATCCCAGGAGCTATTTTTTTTTGCCGTTTTTGTTTGGGTGAATCCACTAGAGGCCGATGTGTACGCGTTTTGAGGTTTCGAATTTCTCTCGCGAATGCCATTCGTGCCTGCTGTTCTCGCATAAATCCACCAGAGGCCGCTGTAGACTGACTGACTGATTGACTGACCGAACAACTGACTCTCCCTCCTCCATCCCTAAACCCAACCAATAGTTTTTTTTAAAATCCCCAATTGACCCGCCCACCTACTTTTGTAAACCCAACCAACGAATTTAAAAAGGAATCCATAAAAAAAGCCCTCGCCTGATTTTTACTATGTTTTACCACATTCTCACCCTGTTTTTTACACGATTATTTTATTTTTTTGCCCTACCCACTTTCTGGAATCGTTCTTCACTTGACTCGACCCCCGTTATCGTGGTCATCTCCTCTTTGCGTCAACTGACATCCATGGCGAGCTTACCGGACAAACTGGTAACAGCAAGAAAGCTGTCCATTCGGAGGAAATCGGTCAGAAGGTAAGCCCGAAAAGCAACTTCGTTATACCGACCCTTAGGGTTTGTGCAGAGGTGATCTATTCCTTCCAGTTCTCCGCCATTTCCATAGGGACTCGGCACAAAGGATTTGACACGTAAAACCACAAACTTGCAATGTAACAGCTTACTTTTCGTTTGTGAAAAAACAAACGTAAGAACTAATTACACTTTTTCCAAGCTTCAATATAAATATGGTTTCAAAGAACGCTCAAAAGACTATCTACCATCAAGCCCCTTCCCTCTTTCTTATATTTTTTTCCCCTGTTGATTACGCATACATATTGTATGACGTATGGCATTAGTTAACATATGAAATGTCATGTACATAACATGAGATTACAAAATATACAAGTCAAATGCTGTATAAAATAACAATAACTATCAACAGTATCTCAATACACATAATATAATCTTATGGAAAAATATTACAAATCTCTTAGTTCTCTTTATGGCTCTAACAGTTTGTTTTAAAAACAAAATGCAGCCATACGTACTTATAGCTACATAATTCACGATCTCCAGAAATGTATATGGGGCTTAGCTTTCAGAATGAGCCTGTGTTAGTTTATTGTATACTTTCTGACCCCAAGGAGAAACATAGGAATTTCAAGGACAGATTTCATCCTATTACAAGTCAATTTTTATGATGTGTGGAAAAAGGAAAAAAAAAAAAAGATAATTTTTTTTTTTCCTGTTGTCACTCCTGGCAACATCTCTTTTCTGTTTATGCCATGTACTACCATCATAATTTCCAAACTCATTCTCAAAACAGCAACTGGAAAGATAAAATGGCAAAGTGGAAAAGAAACGCAAGGTGATCTCTGGAGAGGAACGCTATTTAGAATATCAAACAGCATCAAGACACCTTAATACGCTTGTGCACGCTTTGTTACATGAGCGAGTGTAACAAGCTTGCATGTGAAAGCGAGGGGAGGAAAAGGGAGGCAAAGAGACAAAAATAGATAAAAGAGACAAAAGCGTTTGGCTTGAACTCACAAACATTGCTGCGTCACCAAGCGGAGCCGGCACAACAGTTGTCACATACACAGCAGGTTTTCTCCGCTCTGCTGAGCTCTGCCATTCTGCGCTTGGCCAGAGAATCGCAGCGGCGCTCCGTAAGCCATTATACCAGCATGACCATGCTCCAACAGACAAATCAATCTCACAGCATGAGCCTGAACCAGAGTCGCAGCACAAGGCAGGTCATGTAATGAAAGGGCAAGCTGGTTTGGTGGATACGCCGTGACATCGGCTGCATGCGAGGATCTGAAGAAGAATCCTCTGATTTAAGCTCGCTGGGATTCTTCTACACTTCAGTCCGTAGCAGCCTGCCGTTTCAATGCAGTTCTTCAAACCATCAGGCTTTTGCTCATCCAGCCCGTTTGTGTTCCTTGTGTCTGCTCCAACATACACTGCTTCAGAGTCTGAGATGCTCGGAATGTTGTTGGGGAATGAAATTCATGCACAGTATTCCCTTGGCACAACGTGTAGAGAAAATATAATAGCTGACTTCAAATTAAAGGTAATTTAAGTTGTCTTATTTTGTACTATAATTGGACTAAAATGGTTTTAAACAAATAAAAAAATGCAACTTGTAAAATGAAATGTATAATGTAATATATATGACAAATATAAAACTAAAAACTTTATTGAAAAATCAAATCATTTTGATGGTGCACATTTAGTTGACTATAAGGTATTTTGCAACTAAATGTCAGCTAATTCTCATTATTAACATACCGTATTAACAGACTCTCTGCTTAAAGGTGCTGTATGTAAGTTTTTCACTCTTCTAGAGCATAAAAGAAATATGTTTGCTGATATTTAAGAAACATGCCAAGTAAATATTCTTGTTTATCTGAAAACAACGCTAAAGTTAGATATTCTGCTTTGAAAAAGTGCCTTTTGTGCCTGGTGACTTTGTTTTGGTTCTTTTAACCCGCACGATGCCAGTTTAGCCAATTACATTTCAGCATCCTGGGTTGCCTTGATGTAAACTGTGTATTTCATTCATTCATTCATTCATTCATTCATTCATTCATTCATTCATTCATTCATACATTTATTCAGAAAGGCTCTCAAAGCATGAGCTCTTGACCAAAATGCAACCTCCGGTAGACAGTAGCAGACTCGAAAATGTGACACATATTCAGAGTTTCACATTAGGTTATTAGGCAGCAAGTAATATAAATATTACGAACATAACATTAGATAAGCAGGTTACACTGTAACCCCATGTCCTAACAACACGCTACGTGATGAGATTTGCAGTGATAATCAATTTGGCTGTTTGGACCAAACAAAACACGACAGAAATTTAAATACAGCCATCCAGAAGCACAGAATATGCTCTCACTCATGAAATGGTAAGGTTTATAATCTAATTAAACCTCTTTAATATTGTTAAATGAAAATGCTGAATCACTGATATGTGTATACGCCAATAAATGTCATGTAAAATGATATTTAAACACACATTGTTAGCATTTAACACTGAATAAAGCACATGTGCTGTACCTAAGGTGATCATTGATAGAAAATAGAAGCCATTTCTATCAATTTGAGGTGTTGATTAGAACAAAAACTTCTTTTAATATGAAAATATTCCTTCTGACACGTGCCGTTGCTTCTATTTAGAACACGATTTAAATTAGTCTTTAGACTCCATTGTTAGACTCGCTCCTTTTGGTCTATCTGGCAACCTGCACTTGTGTTTTTTTTTTTCCAGGAATGCAATACCTAGGTTAACCACTGGGTGTCAATTTTACATACTGCACCTTTAATATCTGCATACCTCGCTCAACCAACATTATTCAGAAACTTAGCATAAATGCCAATTTAGACTATCTTTTACCCTATCTCTAACTTTACAGTCTACTAATACTATGTACTGTAGTTGCAATGTAATCAACTAATGGTTTCAAAGGGATCATAAAAATAAAGTGATACCATTAAAATCAAAACAAAAACAAAACAAGACAATATATATAAATTTACATTTTTTTTTTCTGAATTTACAGTTTAGTTACTTTATAATTTAGTTTTTTTTACCAGCCTGTCAGACATTCATTCGAACAAAAAACAAAAACATCTTATCACATACCTCATTAATCCAGTACATTTGAGAGTTCCTTTAAAATGTTTCATAGCTGTATATTAAATAAATGAAACAATAAACAGTGAATTTGACAATGAAGGTAAGTAATAAGTAATATATTTATATATATTTCATTAAACGTATTAAACGAATGAAAGAATTAATAAATCTATCATAAATATTATAGTCTATTTCTATTTTAATTATTTAATAACATTTATTTTATATGACATCTATTCTTCATTTTGTCTATAAAAGTTTTGACCAAAATGTAAAGTAGTACTTAATAATAGTTTATTTATTATATATTTAGTGCTTTAGTCAACTTTGAAACGTCTTGATAGAACACTCAGATCCAAAGACTCTTCTCTCCATCAGCCACATCCATATCCACATAACCACACCAGCCAACTTGTATACTTAATCGCAGGATATCTTCAGGAAACATCAATCACATCAGATATCTTACACCCTGCTGTGTATATGTGTGTGTGTGTGTGTTTATAACAACTGTCTGATCATCTGCTCATGCAGCAGTAAGGGGGCTTCAGGCATGGCTGGTTCCTGGACTCTTAAATTACATCAGCAGAGAGAAATGAATCATGTTCCCTTCGCGAGCACTTCTATGACTAAGCAACTGATGCCTTCTGTGACCTGCCATCTGACCTCTGCTGCACACACCAACTTCAACAAGAAACCACATTTGCAATCCACTTTACTAGTGCAACATGATGCATTTCTGGGTGATGATGGACATTTAACAACAGCAACATAATCTAGAGACTTAAAGGGACAGTTCACCCAAAACTGAAAATTCTGTCATCATTCTTCACTTGCCACAATCCTG